CCCTCCCATTCACATCAAGATTCATTTTCTATTTTCTTTATATACAGAAGATCAGTTTAGCATATATTAAGTAAAGATTTCAACAGTTTGCTCCCACACAGAAACATAAAGTGAAAAATACTGTTTGAGTACTAGTTATAGCATTCAATCTCAATGTACAGCACACTAAGGACAAAGATCCTACATGAGGAGTAAGTGCACAGTGACTCCTGTTGTTGACTTAACAAATTGACACTCTTGTTTATGGCCTCAGTAATCACCCTAGGCTCTATTTCTTTGTCTTTAAATCTATCAATTTACTAAACTTAAGATGTTTTATCTGCCATTAGTTGCACCCAGTGTAGTTTTCACTAAAATTTTGACTTAAGAATGTGTTCCTATCTTGATATCTTAACTTAGAATTTTGAACATATGTAACACAATTACAATGATTTCAGTAACTTTGTTCACTAATTCTAAATCTGTTCTGGAAAAGTTTCTATTTACTGATTTTGCTCTTCACTAAGGGTCATGCATTACAGCTTCTTTGCATGTCTGGTAATCTCTGACTGAGTGCCACAATATTGTTAAATTTACTTTGGAAACTACTTCATATTTTGTACTCCTACAAATATTATTCCTCTATTTTCAAGGAAACAGGATAGTGAGAACCAGGGGCTGGCATTGTGACATAGCAGGTTAAGCCGCCCCCTGAGATGCTGGCATCCCATATGAGCTATGGTATGGTATGTGTCCCAGCTGTTCCACTTCCAATCCTGCTTACTACTAATGGCCTGGAAAAAGTAGTGAAAGATGAACAAAGTGCTTGGGACCCTGTCACCCACGTAGGAGGCTTGGAAAAAGCTCCTGGTCCTGGTTTTGGCCTGACCCAGCCCAAGCCACTGAAGTCATTTAGGAAGTGCACCAGAGGATGGAAGCTCTCTCTCTGTCTCTTCCTCTCTGTTTAACTCTACCTTTCAAATAAATAAATAAATAATTTTTTTAAAAAAAGAATAATTGGAAACAGTTTGATCTCTTTTGAACTGTTAGGAAGAACCAGGCAATGCAGATAGCCTAGAGCTAATTTCTGCCCTTAGCAGAGGCAGTACCTTTTCTTACCTAACTTCCAGTGAATGACGAGGATTTCCAGTGTGGCTGGTACAAACAAGAACTATGGCCAGACCTTTATGACTGCTGGAACTATTCCCTGTAATTCTCTTGAATGGCTCTTTACCCTGCTTTAAGCAGTTTCCCCAAATACAAGTGCTCATCAGGACTCTGCTGAATTGCAGAGGGCACCATCACAGAACTCAGACATTTCCCTCCAGCATCACCTCTCTGCTCTCTGGGACTTCGCTAGCACGCTAATGTCTGCCTGTATCATCACCTCAGTCTCCTCAACTCAGGCAGTCCACTGAACTGCATCTGTGTTCTCCTCCTTGGCCACATAGCCTAGACACCTGCTGTGTAGTTGGCTGTGGGAACTATGAGACTCAGGTGATCTCCCATCACTCAAGGATCCCTGGCTTCTCTGTCTAACGTCCATTATCTTGAAAACTCTTAATTCAGATCTTTTAATGGTTTTATTTTTGCCTGTTTTGAGCAGCAAAGTTAATCTAGTCCCTGCTGCTCCATCTTGGTTGGAAGTAGAAGTCTCCTAACTCCATAGAATATTCTACAGTCATGTTATGATCAAATTTGGGACTGTAGAAAAATAGCACTTAGTGTTAAGGAGAAGCCAATAGCATGTAAGCTATATTTTTCATTATAAATATATGAAAAATATATAGATAGACTAAAACTGAGTGGAAATAAGCAAAATTAAATAGCAGCTGTGCAATGGTGATGGGATTGTGAGTTTCTTAAAATATTTTCTTTGAATGTTATAATCAGATTTTATAAATTGTATAAAGTTGAGAATATTTTAATCAAGGTTTCCTCAAAACATACTACGTTTAAGGACCCTGGGTTCCTCATACATAGTATGCTATACACCAGCTGTGTTGATGGTTAGCTTGATGGTGAGAGCTGTGTGGTTGCTTGGCCTCTCTTCCTAGAATAACTGTATGTAAACAGAACATAGCTCTATTTACATTAGTCGCCTTCTACCTAATCTCCTCCCTGTTTCAAACTACCTTGAACAGAATGTTAGGTAAATGAAATCTTTTTGTGCTGTAGAATACTAGAACTTACTCCTCCTATCAGAAGGGAGGATGTTTTATTTACATAGAAGTACCTTGCTAAGTGAACAATAGTTAAAACTTCAATACAACATCAGCACTTCATATTTAGAACATTTGCTCACAGAATATGCATGGGACAGAAGAACTTAAATATTGAAAACACCTGCTGTCAGCACTGTCCCAGGAACTTGCAAATCCTTTCAGACACAACTACATATACTGTCCTGAAATTTCTTTACCATACATTTGAAAAGTTCTATAACAGTAGCAGAGTGATTTAACATAGAGTATTCATTTGTACATCTAATATTGATGATTGCCTCCTATGTGTGCCAAACCTGCTCAAGATGCTGAATATATGCTGTTCAGCAGATAGCTAAGGGTCCCTGCTCTAACAGGGGTTTCATTCTGCCGCAGGAAAACAGACCTCTGTTAGAGGTAACCATGCAGTGGCAGGAAGGTGAAGGACAGCCTCGTCGCTTCTCAACATTGGGAATGCCTCCCAGAATGCCTCTTCGTTTCTTCTCTACCACTCTTCTTTCAGTGTGAATCATTACATTTTTCTTTATTATTACTATCTTAAATGCATGCAAATAAGCTCCACAAAGTTCATGGAAAATGTGTATTATGCAAAAACTGTGTGTACTTTCAAAAAAATTTGCACCAAAATAAAACTATCTTTTAATTCCATTTCCCATGAATTTTTAATGTAGTGTCCTATTTGTATGATAATTTAATAAATGTATATAATGTGTAATAACTAAGATTACTTAGCATTTACAAATCCTTAAAATTTTTAAAGCTTTTTAATTAATTAACATGTAATAATTGTACATATTTTAGTTGTACATCTTTGTGGGATACAGTGTGATATTTCAACACATGATATAATGTATAACTAAGCCACGGTAGTTAATGTTTCCACCTCCGTTTCATTACTTTACACTTGGAGCCTTCCAACTCCTGTCTTCTAGTTGCTCATAAAATATGTAATAGGTTATTATAAATTGCTGCAAACCCCTCCGTGTTTCGGTACCATTTGTAGCAAAAAGTGGAGGGCATTAGGTTAAGTGAAGTAAGTCAACACAGAAAGACACATACCTCACATTCTCTCCAGGAATATGAAAGCTATAAAACACCAAAAACCTGAACATAGAATTGTGATTACTAGAAACTGTGAAAGGTGGGAAGCACAGGTTAGAGGGAGGTCAGAAAAGAGACACCAAATCATACTTAGATAGAATGTGGTTTGATTTTATTTCCCAGACTAAGTTTCAAATCATTGCAGGCAGACTCATGTTTTTAGTTTCTATTAATGTATATCCCTAAAGAAATCTTTCCGGTAACACCTGGTGAATGAATAAATGAACAATACCCTGAATTTCTTAAGGAAAGAACAAGGACAATATAGGTGAATTAGGAACTAGATTCTGCCTTTGATGGGATGATGATGTCTGACGAATCTACTCACATGGTCTACTGCGGCAGCCCAGTCAGTAACTTATAATTATAAAATGCACTCACAGGGCAAGAAGAACTTGAACAATGTTTGGGATTGAGGTTAATTTAATTCTTTTTTAAAGATACTATGGGGACCATTCCAAACATGGCAGTTAGAGGCTCCCAATAATAATAATAATAATTTTACATAATGGCAACAATGGAACCCTGCTCATGTGTATGCCCATATGAGATTCCTCTTGAAATTAAAATCTTTCCATGTTAGCAATGCATATTGACTAAAAGAGTCAACATTAAAGGGTAAGAGGTCAAGGTTTTAGTCAATGGCTTTCAATGTACATACATTTGATGCAGCAGCTTTGTCACGCAGGGTTTGAAATCTAGAACCTCTTCTTTGGCCTTGGGCACTCCTATAAACAGGTGAAAAGAGAGATGGTAAGCATTTCACTTGCCATTTAAATCTAATTTTTAGATCAGATAATAAAAATAAATTTCAAGTAAGAGAAACTATTTGTCTTAATATATAACATCATCAATCTTTGAGGTGTCACATTTTCTACAGAGAAAGTTGTTATGCACCATAGCTACGCAATGTATCCTCTGTACCCTTGTAGGAATGACGTTTGCTACAGATCTCGATGAGGAAACCAAGGTTTTAAAAAGCCAAGGTGAATGAGAAAATTAAATCTGGCCCAAAGACATTTCTGTAATTTCAGATGGGTTAAAAATCAAGAAAGAACATGTAGTTTCCTGTAATTAGAGAAATTCTGCATTCTCTGGCTCATTACCCATTCATTTCAATCAAAATCAGAACTTCAATACCCAAGAGGAGATTGCAGCTTTGCGGCACATTTGAATCTAAATACTAATTTTTTACCAATTAAAGTAGAAGGAGGGAGGGAGGAAGAAAGGGAGTGAAATAAGAAGAGAGAGAGAGAATGTGACTGGGATGGAGGGAGGGAGGGAGAGAATATGAAGAAATGAGAATTTTATTTTTAATACTGAGAATATCATTCCAAGCCTTAAAATTTTTCATAACTGGGACTCTGAAATTGAAAAATATTTTGTTTTCAAGAAATTTTCTTTTAGAGACCAGAAACTGAAAAGTCCCTATTGCTCCAAAAAAATGAGGAACTGGAGTATGATAATAAATACAGTATAAAGGAAAATCTTGGAGCAGCAAGATGGTAACATGAATATATAAAATTTTTAAATTATGAAAAGTCCTTGGGCCCCTGCATCCGCATGGGAGACCCAGAAGAAGCTCCTGGCTCCAAATTGGTGCAACTCTGGCAGTTGCAGCCAATTGGGGAGTGAGCCAATGGATGGAAGACTTATCTCTCTCTCTCTCTCTGCCTTTCCTTCTCTCTGTGTAACTCTGATTTTCAAATAAATAAATAAATCTTTAAAAAAATTAGCCAGTTATGGGGCCGGCGCTGCAGTGGAGAGGGTAAGGCCTCTGCCTGCAGTGCTGGCATCCCATACAGCTGCCGGTTCAAGTCCCGGCCACTCCATTTCCAATCCAGCTCTCTGCTATGACCTGGAAAAGCAGTAGAAAATGACCCAAGTCCTTGGGCCCCTGCACCCCCATGGGAGACCCAGAGGAAGCTTCTGACTCCTGGCTTCAGATTGGTGCAACTCCAGCTGTTGTGGCCAACTGGGGAGTGAACCAGTGGATGGAAGACCTCTCTCTCTCTCTCTCTCTCTCTCTCTGTGCTTCTCCTCCCTGTGTGTAACCCTGACTTTCAAAAAAAATGAATAAATCTTTAAAAAAATTAGCCTGTTATAGATGTACTGAATTTCAAGTCCTGCCTGGGGTCACCTTTTCAAAGCCAAACCAAATGATTTCTCAGGCCTTATACAGACAATGAGCCACACATTCCCTACCCCTGAATAAAAGCATGTCAATGTTCAGTCAAAATGATTTGATAGACATAGTGCTTCAATGAAAGGAAACACATACAACATTTTTACATCACAAAAAGCAGGACCAACTTATTTTTAATACACAGAGTGGTTTCATATGGCCTAGCATGTGTACATACTCCATGGAAAGGTTTTCCCACACAACGTGTGTTTCATTTGGCATCTCAGTCTTTCTACTTGATAATCACTGGGTCATTCCCCTAAGATGACATCACATGTGTTTTTTCTATCATTTGTATAAGACTATTACTGTGTCAGTCCTGAAATAAAACCAATGAGACCAGTGAAGTCCCAGCATAAATTAAAATAAAAAAACTTTGTATGTCTTTGCTACTTATTAAAATGCTGATGGCTTATGTGTTGGCTGTGAAAAAATGAGATTGACATTAAACTTGGCCATATTTTTCATTTTGCATTCTTCAGATCATTCCCATTCATTTCTAGTGGTTATGTACAAGATTGTGCCCTAGAAAGGAGAAAACAAATTAATTGAATAAAATGAAGTAGTGTTTGTACTTAGGGAGACCCAAGCTGGATGCAAGTTGGATCCTAGCATCATGGAATTTTCAATTTTCTCTGAAAAGAGCCAAGTAACTCTCTGTAATCACTGAACAAAATGTGGAGTGTCATAAGAACAGAGGGAAATGGAGAGGGAAAAGAGCTCTTCCAACGTGGGCAGCAGTGGGGAGGACTCCTGAGAGGAGGAGGACTGCACTTGTTCTTGAATGATGAGAATTCAAACATGCAAGCTACAAGGGGGAAGAATGTCACAGACTGGTGTCTTTATTATAGTTTCTTGTTCACTCATCCATCTCTGTGCTACAAAGCAAGCATATGACAGGAGATACGGTGCTGGACCCTGAGAACACAGCCAAGTGGGATGTATTGTTTCATGGGGTATGTGGATAATGAAGAATTAGTCTCAGAGTGAAATCTAAAATTACAAAATGTAATAATGATGAAGGAAAGGGCAGAGTGCCATGGAATAAAACAAAGAAACTGACAGTACGAGTCAAACATGAAACAACAGAGAGAGAACGTACTTCGGGTTCAGGAAACAAACATATGCATAAGCTCTGTGTTGGAAAAGAGCTTTGAGATAACCTAGGGAGGAAGAGGCCAGGGTGGTTAGAGTATGAGAGATAAGGGGATATGTGGCACAAAACAAGGATTTGGGAATAGGTAGGCTGAGAGTAGTATGCCCTCCGTGCCACGCACAAACAGCTTGGATTTTATTTTGAGTGCAGTGGGGAAACCACTGAAAGTTCCGGGGAAAGAAAAGGTCAAGATCACATTTAAGCAAATGATGTTGGAAAACAAATTAGACATCCATATGCCAAAAAAAATGTGAACGTTGACCTAAACCTCATGCATTATAAAAAAATTAATGGACTGTGCATAGAAATGTAACTATAGGGGCCAGCTCTGTGGCCTAGTAGGTTAAGCCTCTGCCTGCACCCTATATGGGTACCAGTTCGAGTTCCGACTGCTCCACTTCCAATCCAGCTCCCTGAAAATAGCCTGGGAAAACAGCGGAAGATGGCCCAAGTGTTTGGGGCACTGCACCCACCTGAGAGGCCCGGAAGAAGCTCTTGGCTCCTGGCTTTGGATTGGCCCATCTCCAGCCATTGTGGCCATTTGGAGAGTGAACAACTGGATGGAAAACCTCTCTGTCTCTCCCTCTGTAACTCTGTTTCTCAAATAAATAAATATATACTTTTTAAAAAATTCACAACTATAAAACTTCTGGAAAAAATATAAATCTATGTAACCTTAAGTTTGGTATGGAATTCTTGAGACTTGAGTGACATCAAGGGGCCTGCTCTGTGGCAAAGTGGGATAAGCCTCCACTTGCAACCTAGCATCCCATATGGGTACAGGTTCAAGTCTCAGCTCCAATCCCAGTCCAGCTCCCTGATAAAGCACCTGGGAAAACAGTGGAAAATGGTCCAAGTTCTTGGGCTCCTGCACCCATGTGAGAAACCTGTAAGAAGCTCCTGGCTCCTAGCTTTGGCCCAGGACAGTCCCAGCTATTGTAGTCACTCGGGGAGTGAACCTGTGGGTAGAAGCTTTCTCTCTCTCTCTCTCTCTCTCTCTCTCTCTCTCCCTCTCTCTCTCTCCCTCCCTCTCTCCCTCCCTCTCCCTCTCCCTATCTCTCTCTCTCTAATTCTGGCTTTTAAGTAAATAAATAATTTTTAAAGAAGGACATGACACCAAAAGCACAATCCATCAAAGAATGAAATGATAAAATATTCCTACCTTAAAAATCAAAGACTTGTTCTGCTAAGGATACTGTTAAAGAAAATATAAAAGGAAGCTACAGACTGGAGAAAGTATTTGCACATCAAATATCAGAAAAAAGGCTTGTACACATTATATATATATAGAATTTTCAATTCAGTAATAAGAAAATAAACAACATGATTTTAAAATAGGCAAAGCATTTCAAGATACAATGCAAAAGAATACAAGATGAAGGCAAGTGATGAAAAGATAAACTCTGATACATTCACACAATGAAATGTAGCTCATCAGCAAAAAGTTATTGATGCATATTGATGAAACTCCAGGGAGTTATTCTTAAAGAAAGACATGGAAATATGGGCATGTATCTTTATATCTGGGTAGCTTTGTGTGTATTTGTTTCCTAATTTGGAAAGCACCTGAAAGCAGTTAACAAGTAACAGCAGAACTGCTGCCCATATCTTGGTTTCTAAATACTTTCAGGTAAAGAAGCCATGGTGCCTAGGAATTAGTTGATTTCATGGCACCATGACATAACAATTAGCTGATTTTATGGCTGAAGCAAAGAAAGTTCAAAATGAACTTGGGGGCCGGCACTGTGGCGCAGCAGGGTAAAGCTGCTGTCTGCAGTGCCTGTATCCCATATAGGAGCCCGTTTGAGTCCTGCCTGCTCCTCTTCCAATCCAGCTCTCTGCTGTGGCCTGGGAAAGCAGTAGAAGATGGGCTCAAGTCCTTGGGCCCCTGCACCCATGTTGGAAACCTGGAAGAAGCTCCTGGCTCCTGGCTTCGGATCTGCACAGCTCCAGCTGTTGCAGCCAGTTGGGGAGTAAATCAGTGAATGGAAAACCTCTCTCTCTCTCACTCCCTCTCTCTCTGCCTCCCCTTCTCTCTCTGTATTATTTTGATTTTCAAATAAATAAAATAAACCTTAAAAAAAACTTTGGGCATCTTATACCAGATTTTAAGATAATTCTCAAAAACTGATGAGAAGTGTCCAAAGGACCGAAGAACCAGTTGGAGGGAACTCTTCTGGGCTAATTCTGGGACCATATGAGCACTAAAATAAATAATGATAGTAATATATTCTAATCTAGTAAAAACTGAACAAATAAGTTAATTAATGAGGCACAGGAGAAATTACTTGACCATAAATGCCAGCCATTAAATATAGAATATATGAAAGAGTTAGAAAATCATCAATAGATGATAAGACTAATGGGCAAAAAAATTATTGAGGAAC